ACTTGTGTAAAAGAAATCCAATTGTTGAAACAATTGATTAAATTTTTTGGTAGATACATACCTCATGGTCTATTGTCTCAATTGGTTAGAGCTTCGTGCTGATAACGTGTTATCAAATAAATAGAAATAATAAGAGAATTGAAGAAAATGATGATAAGAAAATGAAATCACTATAATGTGAATACAAGTGATAAGAACTTCAAAGTTTCTTTTATTCTCTCTAGGAAACTTGTACACCAACTAATGAACAATCAAGCCTATTTATAGGCTTAAAAATTGAAGAGAGAATTGGAAGGGACTATGAATAATCAATTGCATCACCCTTTCAATTTCTCATATTGAATGATGAATTGAATTATATTAAGAATCATGAGTAGTGGGAATGTGAAAAGTGGATGAACATGATGATGAACATTCATTATTTCATAACAAATTTATTATTATTATTATTATTATTATTTAGAGTTTGAAATAACTTTTGAGTAATCAACTCGAAAGATATTTACATCAAGATACGAGGTCTTTTTAAAAATGACAAAGGTGGCTTATTTTTAAGCCAATTTTTTTTTAAAGCAATTTTTTTACACAATGTTTGATTGGAAAGATGAAACAAGAATCGAAAGAGTAACAATTAAAGACTAATTTAAAGCCAACTCAATTCAATCATTTTGAGATCGAAAAATTTTACTTTCATTCTATTGCGATTTGAAAATTTCGAACGCATAGTATTAAATTGCGTAATTTGAATACTAAAGTATTAGAAATTAGGTAAATGTGATCCAAATTATTCAATTTTCATTATGAGTTGACCGTTATTTGGAATGTCAAAACAACATCATTTTGGTATTCAACTATTAATTATGTTTTTTTAAATAAAAATATTTTAAAAATATTTTTAACCACCTTAATCATGAAATTTTTTGAAAAAATATTTTTTTCTTATAAAATATTATAAGCATTTTACAAATTATATAAAAAAAATTTATAAATATTTTTAATCCTCTAATTTTGAAATTTTTTTTTATAAAATGTTATTATAAAAAAATAATTAAAAATACACAATTTCAAGCCTTGAAAAAATATTTTATAAATAAAAATTAGCATAATTAATAGTTGACCCTTCTAATTCTATAAATTAAAAAATATATATATAAAAAACATATAATATTTTATAATAAAAAAAGTTCAAAATTAGGGATTTAAAATTTTTTTATAAAATATTTATTATATTTATAAGAAAAAAGTTTTTTAAAAAATTTCAAGATTAGGGGATTAAAAATATTTTTAAATATTAAAAAAATAATTAACAATGAATTATCAAAATTACCTTGTTTTTGCATTCGAAGTAATGGTAAATTGAGTTGAATGTTACACATGACGAAAATTGAGCAATTTAGTTCATTTTCAATACTTTGGGGCTTAAATTACACGATTTGGCATTATAGGTCAAAAATGTCAAATCACAATAGAATAGGAACAAAATTTGTAATTAAATCTATTTTCATTATTTCACTTTTTTAAACTCAGAAAAAACAATGGTGTCGAAATTAATTTTGTAGTTACAGACCCATCATTCATTGCTCAAAGCTTTGGCAATCAGAAATATTGGTAATCAAATATAATCTCTTGGTATTGGTCGCCTATAAGCTCATGAAATCAAATATGGAGATAATGAAAAATAAGTGAAGTTGACAGAAAGCCATGCAAGATGTACAAAATATGTAAAGATGTATGCGTTATGGAGATAATGAAGCACCACACGTCTTTGTGATGTATTATATGTTTGTTGTCATATTAGGTTGCCTATTCATCGTTCTTATTGACGTTAGAATTTTGTGACAGAGAACTCAAAATAACTGATATTGTGTTGCCATTATAATAATTTTTTTTCTTTATTTTATGTACCGTATTGTGCCTCTCTCCTTGTTTCTCTCTCTCTTCCTGAAAATGATCTAGCGTATTACACTTGGCTTTGATTCAAGTTTGGAATTAATAGTCTTAATCTCTATCTGATATTCTCTTAGATGTAGCTGAAAGATCGACAATTCACTATTATTGATAAGTGCTCTCAAGAATCCATATACTTCTCCAAGCGGCATATGTAGCTGTGATTGTTGATGTTCTTGAGCTGTTGATCCTTTTCTTTTAGCCATGTTAGGACTTAGGAGGGATGGCAACAAAGATGCCCATTCTCAAGGTACCCTAGCTGAACCTTCTACTCCTGAATGGCTGGAGTGGAAGAATTTAACCATTGTAAATCCAGTTTCTACTTCAACAAAATGAAAATGACATATCATTTCGACGAACTTTATTTACCAAAACGACACACTTTACACACGCGCACATCATGGGCGTCAAAATTGAAAACCAAATGTACAAATTTTCTACAATTAATCTTAAAATTCGATGGAGGCAGGTTGCGATAAAAACTAAGGTTTGTGATTAAAGCAAACCAGTGTTAGCAAAGATCTAATTAAGGATGACAAAATTATCTATTTCGATGGCTATCAAACAAAATCTGACAAATTGTTTTTTAGGCAAATGGGGATGGAGGCGGGGAACATGCCTTTCATCTGGTAGGAACCTTCATCTATATATATATATTGTTTTTTTTTATCTTTCATTGCGTATATTTCTTGAATAATTGGTCTTTTAAAATAAATTTGCTATTGGATTTCTATTTTGATTATTTATATATAAATATGCATGAGAATTATCATAAAATTTAATATTTTTATGGACTTGATATTTATTTTTCATTGGATATTGACTACAAAATATTAATTATAAACACAAAAAGTTATTTTTTATTAACAGCTCCAAACCCCGTCCCCTTGTTATTGGTACTCATAATCTTGTTAAAGTTTATATTTTAGGCACATGGAGGAATAGCTCATTTTTTTATTTTCTCTCTCCGAAGTTCAGGCTCAGAAAAAGAAAATTGAAATTAGATTTTCGGGTTTTAGGTTTCTCTAAGTTATTCAAATTGGCATATTAATCAATTACGGAATTAAATTTATCAATCAGTTAAACTTTCCAATTATAGTATCAATTAGCATGTGTCCTAAAACACATGCTAGAAAAACCCGTATCATAAAAAAAAAAAAAAACACACACACACACACAAACAAGCAAACTTGCTAGAAAAACCCGAGAAATTTTATAATAAACAAAGAATAATTAGTGACATGTATAGTATTTATTTCATTAAGCCACTTGGAAGAAAAAGATAGACACAAAAAAGGAGAGAGAAATAAAAAAGAGAAAATTAAATAAAAATTTTGAACCAATGTAAAAATCTTCTTATCACTTTTGATAGATCCAAATATAATCTAGTATATTTATTTCTCTCCTCCAAATAAATTACTAAAATAACTACTTTATATATTATTAGTTACTCGAAAAACCTTACCTCTTTTAGAGTTTTTCTGCAACTGATTGTTTAAAAAAATGTTTCAGCCCGCAGAAATGAAGGAGGGCCTAGATGGGCCACCATACCTATATGACTTCTCAAATAAAACCAGGATGCTAACTAGGCCAGTAATGTGAGAGCTAACCATCGGCTGCCCAAGCAATTGAAGGTCTTTTTTCACTTGGGCCAAAATCTCCAGCAATGTGAGAGCTTACAGTTACCAATAAAAAATTAAATTGTTTGATTAAACTTTTTTTTCCCCTCAACCGTAACGATATTTTTGAAATATTTTATACATCGATTATTGAGATTACTTTTTTTCGTTGATAATTTTAAGAACGCACTCTCTAACATTATCTTGATGCATTTAAAATAATTTGATAAATTGGATTTAAAGTTTGAATTTAAAAAATTTTAAAAAATGAGCAAACTTCTTTAACCATAGACCAACCCCTTGAGATTGTGTAATTAAACTACTTAATATGTAATTAACATTTCCCTATCTTTAATAAATTTTAATAATAAAACTATTAGTGGTTAAAGACGTTTGTTCTATTTTTAACTTTCTTGGTTCAAATCTTAGAACCATCACATAGAAAAATTTAATAAATTCTTTTGAACGTATTAAATCATATACAAAAATTGACATGTAAGTTAGCTAAAAAAATAAATTTTTTAGGTTTTACATATATATATATAGTTCTATGAAAGATTGAAAGATCATATCATTTTTTCATTTAATAGAAGATCCAATAGACCTTGGGATATGCAATAGGGAAAATAAGTTTTCCCCTTTCTTCGTTGTTATAGTGAAGCAAAAGATTTATCTTTACACTTCTCATGAACTAGAATAACTAGCTTGTAATTTGTCTTTGTGGATTGAGTAAAATTCGAACCACAAATTAAATTAGAAAAAGCTTTAACCTTAATTATAGAAATGAGAGTACTGGTCTATCCCTAGTGTTAATATAGAGTTCATTAAAAAAAAAAAAGGGTTTTAAGCTGTAAATATATGTAATAAAATTCTTTCTTAGTATTAATAATCTGGTTTGCAATTTTATTAGACTTGAGAATTAGGAAACCGTGAAAGAAAAGAAGAAGACGTCCCATAGTCGGATTAGTTAATTCTCATTGTAATCGGATTAGTTTTGGATAACCTATGAAAGAAGACGTCCCAATTCTACAAGGATAGACTGGCCTTCAGATATTTCCATCCATTTTTTCACAAACCCCATTATAATCAAAACTGAGTTCTTTTTTTCCTAGTTTCAAATATTTATTGAAGAAAGGAAGAAGAAGTTGAAGAATTATATAATTAAAGATGGCGTGGAGATCTTGCAATGAAGGGCTTCTTGAAAAAGATACAGAAGATGAAATACTGGAGTTAACTCTGGTAGAAAAGGAACTTGTGGATGCAATGAAGGGCTTTTGAAGGTCAAGAGCAGCTATACCATGGCCAATTACGGTGACCATCAATTTGTGAACCCACTTGAGGGTTTTGCATCCAAGAAAAGGAGAGGATGTGGAGAAGTTTTCAGGCGTGTTGCATCTAAGAGAACTACTTCTTAAGCAGTATCGGCTTTTCATGATGTTGGTGCAAGTGGGAGTCGACGAGGAAGGTGCTAGCACAAGCCACACATAGAGGAGATCAATATGTGTTATGAAATTGCTAGCTTAATTTTATTTCAGGTTTTTCTTCTTCTAGGCAAGGATTTGTAGTGTGCTTGCAGTTGACCACATTTGCTTGGTAATGTTGAAATGGCTTCATAATTAGCATGAAGCAATTCATGGCCTCACTCAATTAATTAATGAATTAGGTTTTCTATCTTCTAATTATTAGATTGTATTAATTCCGCTATTAACTAAAATTAAAAAAATTGTTCTACTATATCTTGTTTAATTTTTTTTTTTTTTTTTAACTTGTTGGTGGTTTAATTTCAATATCAAAAGCTGCTGAGATAATATGTAATTTGAATTTATAATTAATCTACGTTGCTTTTGAATCCATTCACCAAAGGGTACAAAGAACTTTCTAAATGTTTGATTAATGAGGCTACCGATGATCAATTCATGGACTCCGGCTAGCTAGAAATATAAGAGTTAATGGAGGAGAAGGGGTTGATCTCCAAATTGTAATCATTAATCAGAAACTTTTCAGATTGGAAAAACAAAATACATTAGCGGTAATAAAAAAACTTTCTGGATTAGGAAAACAAAACATATTAGTGGTTCATATTGACTTCGGGCAAAAAAATTTACTCTCTCTCTCTCTCTCTCTCTCTCTATATATATATATATATATATATTTGGTCTTTCATAACATGTATTTCTTGACTAATTCATTTTTTTAAAATAAATTAGCCATCGGATTTCTATTTTGATTATTTATATTTAACTATGTATGAGAATTATAATAAAATTTAATATTTATATAGACTTGATATTTATTTTTCATTGAATATTAACTATAAAATATTAATTATAAATACAAAAAAATTATTTATTTATTTATTTTTAGGAGCAAGGGTGATACCCTAGAGTGTATTAATATAAAAGTTGAAGACTACAAACGGGACGATTCAGCCTAGCCCAACAAACTAGAAGGGCAAGGAAGCCAATAACCTAAAAGAACATTGCAGAATGGTATTTTGAACTACCGAATGGAAAGAATTGTTCTGATATACTAATGCAAAGACATTTCTTGACAGCAGTTTACAAGTAACTGGAGATTCCTTGTAAATATATTATGTGCTAATCTCTAAAAGAATATCATAATGAAGATTCTTGATAAAGCGAAAATCATGATTGAGAAGATCTCTATAAAAACATTGCAAGAAATTTCCTGATAATAATTGTTAGTGCGAAACTTAAAGTGAACATGCATGATACTGATTAACATCTGAGAAGAAAGATCAATCTTAATTACCTCTGAAAGTGAACAACCCAATTCTATCATCTGGTATTGCCTGGTGACACTGAGTTGGTAAGTCAATTGGTGCAAATATTACTTTATCGGTTTGGTGCTGCAGTGCCCAATCCATTAGCCTATCTGTAGCTCTATTGCCTTCTCTATGTGTATGCTGAATTCTTATGTCTAAACTGATATAATTCCCAACCTCTCTGAAAGTACAAGTAAAGTAGAAGTCAATTGGATAGCCGAGACTGTGACAAAAAAATTATTTGTCATTTTTTACCGAAAAATAATCGAAGATGCAACATTAAGAAAATAAAAAATAATAAGAAGAACATTTGACGCGATTAACCCTTTTGAAGTGTAGATGATCAAGTTCTAAAAATTTCAATAACTTAATAATTAAATAAACAGTTATTTTAACAATTATGAAAAATTAAGATTTAGTGTTATAGATTTTGTTACGTTAGTATTAAGAATTTCAATTAGCTTTTAGCAAAGAGGTAGGGTTTTGATTTTTTTTTTTTAATTTGAATTTAGGGCCTTTTTTATTATTTTATTTTTACTTGAAAAAAATACTTAATTTTACGTGACGTTCTTCTAATGGTTGTGTTTTTTAATATGCATCTAATATCTTCTTAGATTAACAAACCCTTCATAAAAAATTAAAAATTCAAATCAGAATAAAAATAATTTTTATTTATATTTATTAAAATTTAAATTCATGTTATTTTAAAATATTATCCTCTTCTTATTGAAAACATGTATTAATTATTTTTTTTTACACACATACATACATATAAGTATGTATGTGTGTGTGTGTGTGTGTATAGGTCTAGGGATTTAAAGGTTTCTCACTGGTTATTATTTGTTTACGGCCGGCTTTCTGTAATCAAACTCTCTTTCGAAGCCCTAACTCTCTGTTTCTTAATGGCACCGAAACGGCCCCTCCCCGTTGAAGATCCACCCTCTTATTCTAGCTCTGAAGAAGAAGAGGAAGAAACTTCCAGTGGTGAAGAGGAAGAGGTATCTGATGATGAACAAAATCAACCCTCCCCTCATCAACCACAAACGAAAACCACTCGAACCCAAAAGTCAATCCCCAAAAATCTCGAATCCTCGACTCAACAATCTGAATCTGAGTCCAAATCAGAATCTGGGTCGGATATTGGTGTGGGAGAGGACAGAATGGAAGGTGAGATGGAGAGAGATTCAAGTGTCAAAAAGGTTTCGGAGTTATATAACAGTATGAATGTTGGAAGAATGGATGATTATGTTGCGAGGAGGGGATTGGATTTTGTCCATGGGAGGAAGAAGGCGGAGATGAAGGAGCAGTGGAGGAAGTTGCGGATAGCTGAATTGGAGCTCTTTTTGAAGCGGAAAGAATTGATAGAAGAACAAGCCAAGTTAATGCTGTCAGCTTTTAAGTCTCGAAAGTACATGTAGGGGTCATATTCATAATTCTGTTTTTAAGGTTCAATTCTCATTCAGTAATCTTATGCTTTATTTCTCATTTAGCAGATATTTTGTCATTTATTTCTTATTTTTGTAGTTCTTTTGTGTTTGATTAGTGGATTGCTTATAATTTTTGGAATCAAATTCATAGTTGCCCTTAACAGCCTTTCTTTATAGTTTCTTAAGAAATAACTTGTGCCCTTAACAGCCTTTCTTTATAGTTTCTTTTAGTGGATTGTTATGGGAAATTCATCTTCACTCTCTGGAGAGTTTACCCAAATTATGAATATATATTGTATTTGCAGAAAGAACTTCCATAAAAGTACGTTTTTTAAATTTATATATCAAGGAAACATTCTCTCGTAGTCGATGTATCCTTGAAAATAAGTTTGGCATGGCTTCAGGGGAATCAGTGGATACCTTTTGAGTTGTCTTTTTTTTTTTGCATATCTGCCTTATGTTGAATGATGTCCACACCGCAGGGGTTAATGATGTCTTTGTTTTTTGAGATGCCTTTTGAGATGCCTTTTGAGATGTCTTTTTTTTGCATATCTAGCTAGAGGTGGAATTGCACAAGCACATATTTTTAGTCTTACCATGTAGTGCAGTAGGTGCCAATTAGTTCAGTGCCAAAGTTGTTTTCATTTTCTATAGGGAAAAATGAGAATAATGAAGGATATAGGACACTTTTGAAAAATATTTTTTAATTGCAGTCCTCACTAAATTTTATGAATATATGCTCACTGAGTTTTGCCACATTAATGCAGAAATAAAATACTAGAATCTGTAAGCTCAGATCTCTTACTCCAAATTGGAAACAGCGAAGGGAAAAAATGAAGTTACATTTGAATTTTAGAGATCCAAATGAATATATATATAATACATGAGTGATGAGCCTTGCTGTAGAAAGTAATCATTCCCTCATAAAGGCTTTTTCTTTTTAAGATATTGTTAATGACATAATCAGATAATCAAAGTACTAGTAGGAAGGATATCCACTACAGGAGCAAAACAGAAAATTTCCCACTAGAGGTTTTCATCATATTTGACAACTAGAAACCTCACTTAACTGGTACAAATTATTTACCATAATAAGTGAAAAAACCAAGTAATTGACTGATATCAAGCCTCTAAAAAGATCAAAAGATATATATAACACAAGTGCTTCAAGCTAGGAAATTCTGACCAGAAGAACAGATATTGTGTTTTCAATCAGAAATCCTTAGGAATTCTTCATTACCATTATCATTTCTTTGTCAGAAAGAAAAAAGATTCAAAATCTTGTTCTTTGAAGTCTTCTCTTGTGAGATTTTAGATTCTGACAATGAATTGTGGGGGCTAGATGAGTGGAGAGAGTTTTTTAAGGGTGCAAATGGAAGTATATTTAAGGTCATCAGCAATGCCATCACAGTAGCTGCAAAAGATCACCCTGAAGAGTTCAAGCTCAAAAGGGGTGAAATTGTTGAGACAGCATACTCATCCTTTTGTTCCCTGCATTGTTATCATCACCACAATGAGCTAAGCAGAGAGAGCAGCTTTAAAGATGAGCCTCAAGGTATTAAAAGTAGGCCAAATGGAAATGCAGTTGATTTGGCACATTGTAAGGAGGCTGGGTGTGACGTCATCAGAGATGATGCAAATATGAAGACTGTCCCAGAAAGCAAATATAGTTATAGCGAAGCAGAGGCCTTAGTTGAAATGATCGAGCGAGAAAAAGAGGACATCATGGGGGTTTTAAGAATTAAGGAGGTTCTTTGCAATAGTCAAGAAGAGGTTAGTCCAACTTGTTGCTCCAGGGCTAAATCAAATTTAGGATTTATTAGCCTAAAAATTGTTTAGCGTTTACTGATAGTTGCTGTAATGCATATGAATCAAACACTTCATATACTTTGAGGTTTCATTCTTATAGTTCTGATTGATCTGTTGTGATTTGATGCAGTCCAAAGCAGGACTATTCGAGTCGCTGAGGAGGCTACAATTGATGGATCTGTTGGTTAAGATTCTGCAGGTTTGAATCTTGAGAAGAAGGTTTTTTGGCTTGTTTATCTTGCACATTATTTCAGAATATGTTTGAATCTTTGGCTGTGCAACTATTCATTGCATGCAAATGAAGCTTTTAAGTCAAAGTTGTGAAACACTTGTTATGATGTACTTCAAAAAAGTGTAATCAAAATGTGATTTAGTCCTTAATCTTTATACCGTAACATTTGTTATGGTATAAATCAACAAAAGTACGTTTTGCAGGCATTTCCATTCTCAATGCTCTTCATAAAGTAAATGTAGCAATTTCTTCTTTCGGACTGTGTATGGGTATTTGATGAATCCTTTTCGGTCTTTCTGTTGCAAACTATAAATTTCTCTTTCATTTCATGAGCAGATAAGAACAGAAGAACAGTACAAAGTCACGGATGAAACAAAAGAAAAATTCCCAACGATGTCCGAATAGAAGGTGGCGATGACTTTGATTAAGCAGATTCTTTGACCAATGAGTAACTTTCACTGACAAGGAATTGCATTTTAGTGCAGTGATAGGCAAACCTCCTAGAATTTTTCTGATAGATAACAGAAACTATGTATGTCTCGTAAACCTCTAGGAAACATAAAGACACTAACCATCATATGTTGTACCGTATATTTCTTATGTTTCAGAGTTCAATTTTATACAAATGAATTTGATTCAACAATCCATGTAATGATTGAGCTTCAAATGTCTCTTCCTACATTTCGTCATCAGAAACCAAATGATCACTACTGTTTGCTAAAATGTCTGAAATATCATTGATGCTCAAGCTTCACATGGTCCCCAAAGATTTGCCTGAAGTGTCAAATGGAACCGTTACATTTTTCAAGAAACTTAACACGAATTTATTGTTGTGATATCCATTTATTCACTATATATACAAATAACAATATATTGTTTCTGGTCACGTGGAGCTAGTGAATATCTTTGAAAGATAGGAAGGAAAGGGATGAATATTGATGCTAAGTGTGCTGCTGTGCTACTACTACTGCTATTTGGTTTCTGGAAACCACAATGCTTAATTAATCAAGGAATCGTTTAATAGGTTCAAAGCTCAAAAGAATTTTCCAATTATGATCACATTTGACCATGAAATATGTATATTCTACAGACTAATTCTCCAAAGACCAACATAAAGAAACTAATTCTCGTACAAGTACTGGTCGTGCATGTAATACCTATAAACTCGATCATATTCACGTAGCATGTATGCAATACATTCATGATTAAAAAATTGACCGTCAAAATATTCCATAATATATTCTAAAATGAGACACCAAAAACATACAAAAAAGGGAAATTCACACAAAAAACTATGACATCAACAATGCATTGCCGGATTTGACATGGCTGGAAGGTCTAGTAATTTAGCAAGTGTGATTTTAATTAAAATTTTGGGGAGTTGTAACGAGGTTGACCTTAGATTATTGGTTTTTTTTTTTTAAAAAAAAAAACCATAGATTAATGAAAATCTTGGTAGAGTAAACTGTAACTTAGTCCCTCTATTTTCAAGAAATGAATTAATTAGTCCTTATTTTAAAAACTAATTATTTATTCCTTTGACCAATATTAATCACATTTAATTTAATATTATTTTATTTCAAAAAAGTCTTTTTTTCTTCATAATCCTTCCACATTTTTTATTATTTTTTTAAAAACTGCAAAATCAATATAAATTGAAAAGAAACAAAAAGATTAAGTTATATATATATTATATAATTAGTTTTTAAAATAAATAAAGCTAATTAATTTATTTCTAGAAACTAAAAAGACCAATTTATATATAAAAAATAACTAGTAGTGAAGGAATTGATTATTCTATGAACTATTTATAAAAACTCAAGCTCTGGATTTTTCTCCCATTAGAGTTTCGATTCAGCGTCGATAAGGCCACCGACACTTTGTTGTCCTTATCGTATGGTCCAAGTTAAAAATAAACACAAATCCATTTTATCTTAAATTACTTAGGTGTCTCCTTCGATTTTTTTACCTTTCTTGATACTCAATCTACATTATTCTTCGTAATTGCATCGTTCCTTCTACTTTGTAACTGGTTATGTACCCATAACCATGAAATCTGTTGGCAAAAATTAAAGGCCTATCTCCAAGTCGATAATGAGAGCAAGCATATATAGATAATGTTATTAATTTCTTGATTAATGAATTTTTTCGGTGAGTCCATAAAGACTTGTATATTTTCGTATGTCGATAGTTTTTTTTTGGTATCCAATATATATATAGTGAAGTATCATTGAGTCAACTTTCGAATATATATAGATAGTGGCTTTTGAATATATATAGATAGTAGAGTATTACCGAGTCAACTTTTAAATCAATTAACAAAAATTTTACAACAAAATATAAGAATTTTTTGGATAACATAATATTTTTTTCTTCACCATTTTTTCTTCATTTTATTTTTCAATATTTAGATAGAGATTGGATTTTTATCTTTTTTTTTCAAATATTATTTTATTTAAATTTAGTAAAAAAAAAAAAAAAAGAGCAAAAGGAAAAAGATTAAGATGGAAAAAAAAAAACAAGTTGACACACGTTGCAATCATGTGGGCCTAATGGTACGATTTAACACTTTTATTCCAAAAAATTAATGAAATGATGAAATTAAGACGAAAACCAAATATGAAAAAAAGGAACTTAAGATTGAAAAAAATAGAGGGACTCAATAAAGATGAAACAAAGAATTGCTAGACCCTCGCAACCATTAACCCCCTAAACTTAGTAGGATCTAATCTAAAAAAAAAAAAAGTCATTTAAACTATATAAAAAAAAAACCACATCGTTGTTAAACCTACACTTAATGTATAACACCATTGACCTAGGACCTAAAGTAGGTCGAGACTATTACCGGTAGTGTCTCACATTCGAAGTGTAAGGAATGCAAGACACGAAGCCTCATGACCTTTATTAGTCTAAAGTAATTAACATTTACAAGTGAAAGTTCCTCAATTTAAAAGTTTATGTCCATCCTTTAATTCATCATACTCTAATACAAATTTATGTCATTAATCTTTCAAAGATAATTCATCATTTAATATTTTTAGCCATTGAAAATTTATTAATTTGAATTTGAATTTTTTAATTAATTTTTTATTTAATTAACTTAATTTACGCCAAACCAATAAATAAATAAACATCTTGCAATATTTGTTTACTCATTCATTCCCGGCCTAAATCAACAAAGTTACCTAAGTCATTTAATATGAAATGAGTTAAACCTATATTAATTTTTACAACACACTTTGGCAAGCTCTTGTAGCACCTTTTCTTCCAACTCATCATCAATTTTACTTTGAGTCTTTATATGTTTCTAAATACCTACATCACAAGACAACTTGATGAGCTTGCGCTTAGTAAGTTTAATCATGTAAGCATATATTAATTTTTACAACATACTTTGGCAAGCTCTTGTAGCACCTTTTCTTCCAACTCATCATCAATTTTACTGCGAGTCTTTATATATTTCTAAATACCTACATCACAAGACAACTTGATGAGCTTGCGCTTAGTAAGTTTAATCATGTAAGCATGTCGTGTAATGCATGATGGAATAAAATACATTTTCATGACTTTGGAGAAAACTAAATTTCAACTATCTAACTCTACATGATATAAGAGTTTCAAAAAAAGAACCACTCATCACGAGACTTGAGTCTTTTGAATGAAATTCAATCTAAGTTATCTAATTTTATATAGTATCGAGCTTATCCTTGTTGACAATGGCACAATAGAGCTTGTTGTGGAGCTTGTGGAAGTAGTGCATACCGTCCTTATTGAAGAAACCGGGATGGTATTTGTCAAAGAGGATCTTGTGGTGGTGAATGCCTCCTACTGTACCATGACATCCAAGATGTTTCCTATGCTTTTCGATACGACCATTACCTATGCTCACATGACCTTTCTTTATTCCGGTTATTCTTGAATTAGATTGTCATTTTTTGGCTTTGGAAGAGAGGGATATGTTGTTTAGGGTTTTGAGTGATCTGCAATGAGTGAGATATCACAAAAGATGGGCTAAGATTCAAGAGTTTAAGCCACTTGGTAGAACCTAAAAAATAAGTTGTAAGAGAGAAGGAGTGTTAGAGAATATATCTCATATTGAATAAACAAATAAAAAAATTAGTAATATAGAAAGTTGAAAAGAGATCATTCACTATAAAAGTTTAAATTTTTTTGGATAAAATCTAATCTCAATTATCTAACTTTATACTTCTCTCTCCAACTAATCGAAGCACCAAGTACACTTTCTACACTCCAACTTTTTGATTTTATATTTTTGCCCAAAGAACTCCAAAATACTTAAGAAATCCATTCTTTATTGCTCACACAAATATATAAAATCCTATTTTCATAAAAAAAAAAAAAAAAAACTAACTCTCATGCTCCTTTTTTATATTGGGTAGGGTTCGGGCTAAATAATTTGTTAATTGGTTCGGATTAATTCAAGCCTTATTAGGTATGAAATAAGTTGGGTTTCGACGTTTACTATTTTACGATGTTCATAATATTTTTGTGTACAAGAAGAGTTATATTGTATACCAAAATTTACTAATTTAATGTCTTTAACACTTTCTTTTTCTCATGCTTTCCGTTGGTCAACAACCAACAAAAGATTTCTACTGTTCTTTGAAATATTTTTAAGAATAAAATATTAATATTATATTTGAATTTTACAAATTGCATTATGAAAAAAATACGCTTCAGCTATATAAGAACTCGCTTCGATTCTTTTCTATTGAATCGGATGAAAGTTTGATTTTTTTTTTTTTTTTTTTTTTTTTTTTTTTAAGGAAGACTATAAAAAGGAATACAACATTTTTGTTTGTGTTTTTTTTTTTAGAAAAAACAAATTGGCTTGAGTTTTTGGATAAACCATTAAAAAATGGATTTCTTAAGCATTTTGGAGTTCTTGAGGAAAAAAAATAAAAATTCAAACGGTTGGAGTGCAGAAGGTATAAATGGTGCTTTGATTCGTTGGGGGAGAGAAGCACCCAAAGGAGCTTGGATTCGTTGGGGGAGAGAAGCACCCAAAGGAGCTTGGATTATAGGGGGTAAATGGTTGTAGGGGTTTTTCTGTTTTTTTCTTTTTTTCATCTTTATCATGTCTCTTTACTCCTTTTCGAATTAAACTCATCTTTCCATGTTTGTTTTTTAATTTAATTTCATCCATCCATTAAATTTTTTTAAACTAACAATGTTAAATAGCACCGTCAGCTCTATAGAATTGTGACATGTGTCAACTTTTTTTTTCTATTTTAATCTTTTATCGTTTTTTTCTTTACTGAATTTCAATAAATAATTTTGAAATAAAAAAAAGTAAAAATATCCGATCACTCTCTCTAAAAATTTAAAAAGAAAATAAAAAAATGTGAAAATAAAAAAACATTTTTTGCCAAAATATTTTTTATGTATTTAAATTTATTTTTATAATAATAAGCAAATTTTGAGTATAAAATAAAATATTTATAGTACTATTTTTAAATGTGACGAGAATTTAAAATTTTTAAATTTTTAAATTTTTGAATGATATTTATAATTTTTTAATATCAGAAACATGTATGATAATTTATTTATTTTGATTTTATAGATTTTTAATTTGACTTGAAAATAGAAATATAAATTTTGTTAGTATTGTACTCAGCACTAACAAGTTTCTTAAATTCGTAACAAAATTTAACACGCTATCTGTGCTGAACTCATTACACATCCAATCCCTTCTCAACCGTCAGTAACTAATTCTCTCTCCAACCCGCGCTTTTCATACAAATACAGCGGCTCTACATTCACAGACTAAAGAAAGAAACGAAGAAACGAGAAAAGACTCGATCTTTCTTTCATTTTCTCTAGTTGAAGATCGAAGAAGAAGAGTTTCAAGAAGGTCAACAAAACCCAGTTTCATTTTCTAAAATGAAAGATCAAGTAGACCTAGGAAGCCTTGGCGTGAATCTTGATGCTTGGCAAGATCCTTATTCCTTTAATGATTAGCTATATTCTTCCAATGATGAATGGCAAGGTCCTTCTTTCTTTGATGATTGGCAACATTCTTCTTCACAACAAGGCTGGTATGGAACCTCCCTTATTGGTACTATTATGACTTTAGTTAAAGGCATCGGAGGAGCTACGGTATTCAAAGATGATGAATGGCTTGAATTGGTACGTTATGCACAAAGCCCTCATGAGGACAACGATATAAAGGTTTTCAATTCTAGTTCTATGGAAGTGGGTTACCTTTATAGTCGAGTTGCTGTAATTTTGTCTCCTTTACTTGATGCTCACAAGATTATTCTTGAAGGGGAGGTGGCTAATTCAAAAATAGAATGTAGTTCTATTATTTGTCGAGTGAGGATCTAAGCAAAGAAAGATGATATATATATATATATATATATTTTAAATTTGATGCATTTGTATGTTTGTTGAATTTGATGCATTCATCTTTTATTATATAACTACTATCATCATTTTTTTTCTATTACTATCTTTTTTAGTGGTGATAAATTAATTTTTTTAAATATATTATTGTTACCGTTACTGTATTAATATTGCTATTATCATTTTTTTTCCTTTCAAACACCAATCAGCTCTATTATTTTTATTATTATCACGGTCTTTGAACAATTCTTTCCTCTCGAAGCAGTTGTTGGTGTGGGATATTGCAGTTTTGCCGGCCTCGTCATAGTGCTAAGCTAGCAGGGCTTTTCAAGGAGTCTTCGGCAGGATTTGAAAGCTTCCTTGAACAAATTTTATTGAATTTTAGCAATAGGACCTAATAGCCAAAGTTTCTCAGTCAAAAATGAAAAATATGCAAAACATAATTCTTTTGCTTAAATTTCCATAATTGAACATACCATTTTCTTCAGTAAAAAAAAAAAAGAAGGAAAACCCTAAACATAGCAATAAGGAACATCAATGTATTAGTGCAAAACAAATTCTGGCATGGACAACTCAAAATATGCCAGGAACTATAAAGTTTTTACTCGTTCTCACATGATGACGGAGCTTGAATATCTCTGTTGATGCCTATTTTTACAGGTGACAACTTGATAAGCGAAGCAATTTACCCACTTGTGCATGTAAGAATAAAATTGAATCGGCTCTCAGCAACATGACATTTCTTGCTTCATATTATGCAAATTTTCTACATCCCATCAGGCCTCATGCTTTCCATAAACGAAGGCTTACCCATGAGTCTCTTGGAGATGGGCAAGTTTTTTAAATCAGACCAATCAGAACTGGTCCACCCTTTTAAGCTAGCAAACCAGAATCGAAATTAGTGCCTCTTGTTTTGCAGCTTACTTTGCAGATTTTCTACTTCATCTCCCGCGAGCAGGTTGCCTTACAGGAGTCAAATTCCGAAAGGCAGCATGCAGAATCATAACTGCAACAGGATGAGGAAATAGCAGCTCACATTAACTAAAAAAGGAAGGTGGACCATGACTAAAAAAAAAAAAAAAGGGAAAATAACGTCTAATTTTTCACCTGTGGAACTAACGCCAAGTGCACAAAAGAGAGCTATTTGAACATTTAAACATATCAAAACAACTGCAATGACGAGATGATATGACGAAGTCAGGTACAGAAAACAATTTTCATTATCCATCAAATTGGCTCCATATTATATGCTTAGAATTATTTCAATAAAATAATAAAAAAAGTCAAATAGGAACAGGCAATGGGATTATTAAAAAAAAAACATAATGTTTAAAGAATTTCAACTTGTCTAATTCTACCATTTGTTTTTTGAGGTACAAATGCAGGATTGAGATGGAAAAGCATTCTATTTTCAATTAGCACCGATTGTACCTTTGTACCCTAAATGCAGGACCTTGTTCAATTATTGGAACCAAATGCTTGCGAAAGAGGCAAAAGAAATTAAATTCCAGTGACCATGTGTTTTAGTTACACAGATAACGACATATGGTAACTAAAGGAAAATACTTGATCTCTTACCACATTGATTTCATCCCCATCTGTCACTAAAGAACTTGAAAATATCCCAAAGTGCGAGGCTTGATCGATATCAATCCAGTCAGAGCAAGCGGCATTTGATACCTACAACCCCCAACGACAAGAAGAGTACTAAAAACACTCAACTAATAACAATCATAGGAAAATTACTTGATGCCATAAACATCAGTATCACCATCCTTTGCAAAATACAAAGGCATAAAGGTCGGATCAGGGATGATGGAGGTCCAATGTTTGTCTTCCATACCGACTGAAGATTGAATTTCTACAGTATTTCAATTTCTATAGCAACTCAATAAATCACTATAGGCCCATACGAACATCAAAGACCAACTAAAATCCAATATTTTATAATTTTTTAATTAAAAAAGAAGCCCAAAAAAAAAAAAAAGGAAGAACCACGTAGAAATTAGAAATGCTAAATTACTAATGAGGGCATATTATTACTAATGAAGAGAAAAAGTAATAGCGAAGAGCATAAAAACCATGTAATTTTGAGGGTAAGTTAGTAATTTAGGTGAGAAGCCCTCCACCTCCAAATAAACTAGCCGTTGGATAAAAAAAAAACCTACCTTCCTTCTCTTCTTATTTAAGGAAACCCCTAATCTTGAACTTTCTTAGTTTCGGTAAATTTCTCTCCGTCTAGTGCTCTCAATTTATTTTCCGGGATCATTTCTTAGAATTTTATTATTCTTTCGTCAAGGCAAATTGAAAGTGGTGAGTTTGCCATTACGAATTCAAATTGAGGTTCTTTCCGTTTCTTATCGGGTTTGTTACCTTATCCGAAAGTTTCTTTCTTTCTTGTTTTCATTATTTTTCTTTTAGATCTTGATTGTTTTTTTTTTTTAATTCATAATCGAGAAAAAACAATGGCTTGTTCTTCTTCTTCCATGGTTGTTGTGGGTTCTTTGGATAAAGAATTATCCAAGAGAACTCGTGGGTTTCTTTGGGATTCCAATTGGTCTTAGATTCCAGCCTTCCGACCGTGATATTGTCATCCATTATCTCTACAGAAGGTCAAAGGCTTTCCTCTCCCTTCGATTCCACTCGTCCCTTTTTGTGATCTTTATGGCCACCAAGAACCATGGGAGATTTGGGATGCCTTTGGAGGGATTGACAACGAGAACTTATTCTTCTTTACCAATCTCGAAGATGAGCCCAACAACATCTCGAACTAATCACCAAGTTGGATCATCCGGTGGTACATGGCATGATGAAGGACGATACAAGCGGAGTGGGTGGCTTGGAATTCAGTGGGTTGTCAAGACATTCAACTACAAGAATCCCAAATCCAAGGCTCGGAATGGTGCTTGGATGATGCACGAATACGACCTTGTTGCTAATGATATTGTCGGCACTCCTACCGTAACCGTTGTTTGCCGTTTAAGGAAGAAGCAACCCGGGAGGAAGAGGCGATTGGATGATGAAGAAGAAAGTGATGATGATATGGATAAAAATTGCAAGCGCTCCACGTGTGATCGAGTAGCAATGTCAACCACAACTGTTTCGTGAGTGTGAACCCACCACACGACCTCCTTCCCGATCAAGACAATGATGCAATTAGTCCATTGGAACTTGAGCAAAAGGCAGCCACAAACAACAACAAGTGATGAGCATCTCGTCATTGGATGGCGCCGATGCACCCGAAGATCAACTGTTGCTTACCGATGATACTTATTCCTTCAAAGCCGATGACATTCTATCAACTGGGCCTTCGATTCTAATGGTGCTCTTCGACAACGTCGGATAATTGGTAATGAAGAAGAAATGGCTCTTGATGATGATTATTTCCATTCCGTTGTTCGAGAGCTTTTATGCGAAGAAGCACCTACCTCTTGCAACTTAGAGATGAGACTTCAAAATGTTGACTCATTAGGTTTTGTAGAATTGGTTGATTAAAACCAAAAAAGAAAATGCACTAGTGAGAACTATATATATATATATATATATGCATATATATATATGCATTAGAGCTAGCAGTATTATGAGAGGCCAATCACCTTATTACCGATATATAAGTCAATCCAAGGATGAAAATTTAAAAAAAATTCATTGTCCTCTAACAAGCTAGGATCAACAAAATTCTTAATTCCGTAATTGTTTACAACAATATTTCGTGACTTTTTGCAATATTTTTTATTTGCTAAATTAAGGGTCGATGCATGAATTCAAAGAACAATGACCTTCACACAAGTGGAGGCGAGCACATTGGATCATACTACAAGCAACCAGATTTTAGATTCAAATGCAAGCTCAAATTCTATCATAGGTCGGCTAGACTCCTTTTTAATAAACAAAAACCGAGGATGCAAAATTGTCATACACGTAAGATAGGATTTTGAGACGGACTCGATAATTGGGATTAGGGACGATGGTCCACTAGTGTTAGAGTTGTTAGGGATTGCACGTACATACATATATTGAAAATATAGACAATTTTTTTGATGGTAGCACCGAAATGTTCATAATTTGTACACCATCCCATCCTTCTCTTCTTATAGACATATTTTCAAGGATAGAGGCGACGAGAAAAGAGCTTATGCATCGAGGAGCCATCAACATACACAACACGAGCGAGACACAATGTTTTTAAGGTATGGAAAACACATAGACAAACATCCTACTCATCCTCGAAACCTCCAAAGTTTTGCAATTAAATACTCTCAAGGAAGCCGTTCGGGGTTGCAACAACTTGTTACACTTGCTAACACTTGAATGTTACACGCTATCATAGCACAAATGCACTCATAAATGTTAGGGGAAGCATCTTTAATGATGCATTTAAGATAGCCTCTTTGCATGATAGACCCGCCATGATAAAAGAGTACTCGGCCCATATATTTCTTGAAGGAACCGAAAACAAAAGCGGCATAACTACCGTAATCACTAGTAATCCATAAGAAAATTGATAGAAAAATTCATATTAAGAGTTGAAAGTCCAATTGTATTCCCATCTTTTTAACCCCATAAATGCCTTTTTAGTTGTAAAGTTCCATTTAAACCCATTCTTCTTAAGTAGATCCGTCAAAGGTTTAGCTATTCTACCATAAACCTTCACAAAACATCCGTAATAACCTATAAGACCATGAAACTTCGTAGTTGTTTTAGATCATGTAGAATAGGCTACTGCTACACCACTTCAATTTTCTTAGGATCAATTTGGACCTCTTTTGGCTTCGCAGACATGAAATATCCCAAATATTCCACTTTTGGAGCACTAAAGTTGTATTTAGAATATTTAGCAAACATGAATTTTTATCTTAACACACTTAATGTAATTTTCAAATGATGAACATGCTTTTTTAAAATCTTACTAAAGACTAAAACATCATTAAAAAAAAATACTAGAATGAACTTTCAAAGAAAAGGTCTAAAAGCATCATTCATAGTTAAATCAAATGGCATAACCAAGTACTCATAGTAACCATTATGTGTTTGAAAAAGTATTTTAAAAATGTTTGAAATACACATTTTGATTTGATGATAACCTACTCGTAAGTCAAGTTTAGAACAAATAATTGATCCTCGTAATTCATCTAGAAGTTCCTCAATGATAGGAATTGAAAATTGATCTTTGATAATCATCCGATTTAGCTTCCCGTAATCCATACAAATCCATACATGAATTGTCTTTCTTTTTAACTAATACCATTGGAGAAGAAAAAAGACTCACGCTATGTTGGATAATACCATTTTCAGTATTTTCTTTTTAAACTAGCCATTGGAAAATCAAGAACCTACCTTCCTTCTCTTTTTATTTAAAGAAACCTCTAATCATGAGCTCTCTCGGCTTCGATGAATTTCTCTCGATTGATTTCTCTCCATCTAATATTCTCAATTTCTTTTTTAAGTCTTTATCAACCATCATCATCTTTTAGAATTTTATTATTCTTTCTATCAAGTCAAATTCAAAGTGGTGAGTTTGCCATTGCGAATTCAAATTGAGGTTCTTTTCGTTTTTTATTAGGCTTGTTACGATATCCAAACCAAAAGTTTCTTTCTTTCTTGTTTTCAATATTTTTCTTTCGGATTTTGATTGAATCTGTTTTGTTTTTTAATTGATAATCGAACTAAACAATGGCTTGTTCTTCTTCTTCCATGGTTGTTGTGGGTTCTTTGGATAAAAAATTATCCAAGAGCACTCGTGGGTTTTTCTCGGGATTCCAGTTGGTTTCGCATTCCATCCTTCTCACCGTAATCTTGTCACCCATTATCTCTACAAGAAGGGCCAATGCTTTCCTCTCCCTTCGATTCCACTCGTCCCTTTTTGTGATCTTTATGGCCATCAAGAACCATGGGAGATTTGGGATGCCTTTGGAGGGATTGACAACGAGGACTTCCTCTTCTTTACCAATCTCCATAAGATTAGCCCAACTACATCTCTAATTCATAGCTAAGTTGGAGGAGTGGGTGGCTCGAAATTCGAGTGGCTTGTCAAGATATTCACCTACGAGAATCCCAAATCCAAGGCTCGGAATGGTGCTTGGATGATTCACAAATACATCCTTGTTGCTAATGATATTGTCAACACTCCTATTGCAACCGTTGTTTTCCATTTGAGGAAGAAGCAACCCATCGAAGGCGACCATGTATGACCTTAGATAGAAACTAGCATTTTATGGTTTCCTCATGGTGATTCTAAGTTTATGGGGCCCCCAAATTTTGTTGTGTCAAATTTTTTTTATCATGGAGCTAGAAATTTGAGTGTCCAAAAGTACATTTACATATTTGTTATCTATATGTGTTTCTCATCTATTCTCTCTCTCTCTCTCTCTCTCTTTTCCCTCCTTTGTAGGGGTGATCAAACCGTTAGGTTAATCGAAAACCAAATTAAATCGAATCAAATTATGAAATTTGGTTTGGGTATAAATTAAAAAATGTATAATTTATAATCGAACCAAAAAAACCAAAAGAATTTAGTTTCGGTTCGGTTCTTTTTTAGGAAACGATTTGAATCGAAAACCATTTTTTTATTATTCCTAATTCTAATTTCGAATAACCGAATAAGATCTAAATATCTAATCATCTAACCCTAACTCGGCAACTCCCTCTCCGCTTTTGACTCTCCCCGTCTCCTTTACCCTTTAGCCGCCTCTTTCGTCTTTCTTTTTCTTTCGAGGCAAACGAAGTCACGCAAGTAGCTACCACCACCGCCCAAGCATTCCAGCGAAGCCCGCCAGCAACGAGCAAACTCGGCCTCTCTCGTTCTCGTCTCTCGCACTCTCAACATAAGTCTCGGACTCTCGACCTTTCATAGATCTCACACTCTCAAAGCCTCATTCTTCTTCTCCCGTTCTTCACTCTCCACTCCAAGTGACGACGAGTCCTCCGGGCTCCGTGCTCCAATCCTCTTCTAATCTTCCTTCGTCAAGCTTCGTGTCTTTCAAGGTTAGTCTCTTTTATTTTAATTTTTTTTACCGATATGTGATAACAATAATGTATTAGGCATAGATTAAGTTGTTTTTTATATTTCTTAGTGAGCTTTGATAACCGATATGCTTTGTTATACACTATGGTGTTGTCTTGGTTGGAAGCCCGAAGCCTTGCCTTAAAATGTTTATCGTGTCCCGTTGGCATCTCGTTTTCCTTTCCGGTTCGTCGGAGTCCGTGATTCCGCACTTTATTTGTGTTAGTCTCGGTTATCAAGCTATGTTTTGGTTTTAGTTGGGGTAAGGGTGACGATTTGTTCATGTCTAACTCCTATTTTCTTTTCTCTTCTTTGTTTGTTTCGGCATTTTTTTTGTTTTTTGTCCAAATTGATCCTTGCATTAGAGCGTATGTATGATCAATATTCAATATAATTGAACCGATTTGCTTTTTGTTTAATTTTCACACACATATGATCATTATAATTGAATTGATCCTTGTATTAGAGCATTCTATCATTCATGCTTTTCATAGCAAGTAGTTTGCATTTTTCTAAAGAAATAGTGATATCCTCACCATTAAATGTTAATAAAAGTAGATGTTTGCAATAGCGAAATGAGAATGCGAAAACAACGGACCAACGCCAACGATCCGTGTCCTAGCAAGTGAGATCCACCGATCCACACATCAATAGGGCAGTGATGAAACCATGTAGAGGTCGAAAATGAGAAGCTTGGAAACAATCAATAAGGCAACGAAATGGATGCATGGAAATATAGAATCGCTTGAAAGGAAAGATTAAAGAGCATGTGAGGATGTGAATGGTAGCCGTTAGGGATGGAGTTGAGTTAGTTAACTAACATGGCAAGAGTTGGTTATGGTCGTTAGATTGAGAGGGAAAGTTAGTTAGAAACAAACACCGTATAAATCATGAGTAATTCATTATAAAAGAGCTATTATGCCATTTTAGATCAATATCGAATTTACTCTTCTTGCTGATTTCTCTCGTTTATTACTTTATTTTCTCGTTCTTCTTGGTTCTTGATTTGTATAACTAATTATAAAATTGATAGTTGTTAAAATCTTTAACTCGTTGTTAATCTTCATTTAGTCTTGAAAGAATCATTAAAACCTCGTAATTCATTATTTTATTTAGAATTTGGCATCACACAAGTAAAACTAAGCTAAATTCTTATCCATAAAGAATTGTCCATTGTTATTAAGCAATCTTTCTTCATTTATCTTCTTATTTTCTCTCTTTTAATCACATACATATAACCGAAAATTGGATAGATGAAATGAATGCTTAGAATTTCTACATAATTAAATGAGTAGAGTTTAATTACCGAATGAATTCGAAAAAAAATGAATATACATTTTCATATACCCGTGTAATTTTTATAGCATTTGTTTTGTGTATGAAAGCTATTAAGCTATTTATTTTAGAGTTAGACTACTTTTTTGTTTGCTACCGATTTAGGGGAGGATCTTCTAGAATTCTACCCAATTTTGCTACTCGTCTAAGTGTCTAACTCGTTTTCACTCTTCAGCATGGATACTGGACACACCTTTTGTTAAGGTAGAGGCAGTAGCATCCGCCTATATTTGATTTATGGTTATCAATAATAGAGCGCTTCCATTCCATATTATGCTACCAACTTGGCAACTTGTGTATATTTATTATGTTTTTTTGATTATTTAAGAATGTGAAGCTTAATACTCTTGTTCCTTTGTTATTTATGTAGATGTCATAATCTTAATCCAAAGAGATGAATTATAAACATGTGAGTTCAAGCAATCCCAATACACAATCAAATGTAGGTGTAGGTCCAACTTCAATTAACACTCAGAAGATGTCAAATGAAAGAAGAGGAAATCAATGAAGCCAAGATCGATGGTGTGGGACCATTTCATAAAGTTCGAAGATGACAATAAAGACATGAAGGCTAAATACAACTGTTGTGCTAAGGTATTTGCTTGTAATCCTTCAAAAATGGGACAACCTCACTTAGGTCTCATGTTTTGACTTATAAAAAAAACCTTTTATTTGTATTAACTCGTACACAAACTCAATTAGACCTTGAAGGCTTGAAGTGGGAGAAAATAGTCTTAGCACATGGAAGTTTGATCAAATTGTTAGTAGAAAAGATTTAGCCGAAATGATCATTTTAGATGAACTTCCATTTAAGCATATAGAAGGTAGGGGATTCAAAAAGTTTTTGTCTAATTTGCAACCTAGATTCAAACTTGCATCTCGTTTTATGATTTCAAGAGATTGCTATCAACTTTATTTAGATGAGAAAATAAAGTCGAAGCAATTTTTGAAACAAAATAGTCAAAGAATTAGCCTCACTACGGACACATGGACATCTATTCAAAGAATCAATTACATGTGTTTAACTCGCTCATTTTATTGATAATGATTGAAAGTTGTATAAAAAGATCTTGAATTCTTATCCGATTAATAGTCATAAAGGAGTAGATTTAGGTATTGCCATTGAGAAGTGCTTGATTAATTGGGAAATTGAGAAGGTATTTAGTGCTATAGTTGTTAATGCAAGTTCGAATGATGTGGCAATTAGACACTTAAAAGATGTGATTAAGAATTGAGGTTATAGCATCTTAGATGGAGAATTCATTCATATGAGGTGTATGGCACATACTTTGAATCTAGTTGTTGTCGATGGGTTAAAACATTTTAATCCTTCGATCGTTCGTATTCGATCGACTGTTAGGTTTCGTGAGGCAATCTCCAGCTAGGTTGAGAAGATTTAAGGAGTGCATTCAACTTGAGAAAATTGATTCTAAGAGTTTGTTACAACTAGATGTCGTAACTAGGTGGAATTCAACATATTTGATATTAGAGTTGGCTCTAAAATTTGAGAGAGCTTTTAAGAGATATGAGCAAATTGATCCTTTATATAGGAGTGAATTTGATGTAGATCTTGGTAATAATGTTGTTAGGCCACCTAATGTGGATGATTGGAAGACTTGTAAGAAGATGGTGGGCATGTTAAAAAAATTTTACACCTTACTTTGCGCATTTCGAGTTCCTTGTATGTGACTTCAAATATTTTTTTCGAAGAGATTTATGCGCTCGAACATGTTTTCAAAAAATGGCAACAAAGTGAGGATTTGGACGATTTTGCATTGGCTAATAAAATGGAAGAAAATTTTGAGATGTATTGGGGGGATATTAAGAAAATGAACATGTTGATTTATATTATGACAATACTTGATCCTAGGCATAAACTTGTATTTATTGAATTTTTAATCAAGGAATTGTATGGTGATTTAGAGGGTTAAAATATGTCAAATATTGTGAAGGGATCTATAAATGCCATGTATGATTTCTATTATCGTTCATCATCTCAAGATAAAATTGGCCAAACTAGTGGGAGTTGGGGAATAGATGTGGATTATGCAAATGAAGAAATGATTAATAAAGAAGAAAATCGAATAAAAATAGAGATAATGATGTGTTTTGAAAAATACAAGTATGACATTGAAAGTGGAGGAAATAAAACGAAATTGGAAAAATATCTTGGTGAAAGTGCTGAAAATAATAGTGTTGATTTCAAGATTTTAGAGTGATGGAAAACCAATGCTCCTTGGTTTCCCATCCTTGCACAAATGGCTAGGGATGTATTAGCGGTTCCTCGTTTCTACAGCCTCCTCGGAATCGACATTTAGCACCGGAGGAAGAGTTCTTGATCGCTTTAGGAGTTCTTTAACTCCTACCTTAGTGGAATCTCTTATATGTGCTCAAGATTGGATTAAAAATTCATCGACTTCAATTATTATTGAAGAAAATTTACAAGATGTAGAGAAAATACAAAATGGTAATTTCTATAACTCTTATCATTTAATTTGTTATTTCTTTCCTATATATTAATGATAAAGGGTTAATTTTTTTATCTTTTATTTTTCGTAGTTACCAATTGCCGATGCCACTAACTCTACTACAAATGTTTGATGGGTTGATTACTCGATAGTGTTTTGGCTTTTTGAATGATATATGTAAGTTATTAAGTTTTTAAGTTTGATTTTTTTATTTTTGTTGCTTATGCATGGTTGGATGTTTGACTTGCACCGGTCAATGCTATCGGCCTATCGCTATCGACCTTGAATTAAATTTTCATTACACATATCGTGGCTGTCCAAGTGTCCATTGGATGTCTAACGATGTCCAAGGCTCCAGGTCGACCGACTCGTTGAAGAAGGCTCGAGGGCTCAAGGTTGTCCAATGCTACAAGCAAGACTCTTTATCGTGGGCAATTTTCTTTATGGTTTTTTGATGTGTGGTAATTTCTAATCTAGATTTTGGTATGTAAGTATATTGTATTGTTGATGAATCTTTCTTACTTTTTCTTTTTACGTTCTTTCGAGGTGTTGGATCGTTGGTAATCAAAGACTCTAAGTCTAAGTAAGAATGTTGAATGTTGCATGTTGAATGTTGTTTTCCATATTTCCATATTTGTTGAATGTTGTATGATTTGTATCCGTTAATATTTGGCTATTTGGTGCGTCTAATGTGTCCGGTTGATTGGTTCCGCTTAATGTCGTCCGCCTTTTGGTGCTTCTATCTATCGCCTTCGATTGCTACGTGTCTACGTCCGCTTCGCCTAGTGCGTTCGGTTGCTACGTCCGGTCCGATGAGTCCGGTGCATTTTTTTTATTCTTGAGTTTATTGATTTTAGATGAGTTGTTTAGTTTTCTTGCAATTTTAGACTTCAATTTGTTGTTTATTGGGTGATTAGGATTGGTTCTATTATATAAGCAATGCCGATATTTGTCATGATGGTGGCCAATTAGCTAATCGCATATTAGCCTTGTGGTCGTTTCTTTATGTGAATGGTCGGTAAGCTTACCGAAAGCAGCTCGTTAGTGGCATTTGATAGTAAACCGAAACCGTGGCTTCACTTTCTATAATGTATTCATGTGCGTGTATGTGATTTTTCGGATGTCGTGGGTCGAAGATGACACTTTAGCAACAAAGGAAACCATCAACCGAGTGATTAATCGGTTAAGGGACTTTAAGAGCGGTGTTAGCATCCAATTTCTAGTCATCAATCCTATCATCCTTGGAACCTTCTCGTCATAATGTTTTGGAACTTTCATTGTTGTCTTAGTTCACTATCTTGGAACTTTCATTGTCGTCTTAGTTTATAAATGACTCGCAAATCATTTTAGGATGAACTATTATATTTTTTAATAGTAAATTAGTTTATGATACCATAAAAATAAAAATCTTTCACAGGAATAAAAGTTTGGTTATAACCAAATTATTTCGATACCGAACCAAAATAATTCGATTACAAACCGACTTAACCAAATTTAGTTTGGTTCGGTTTCGGTTTTTATTTTTTCTAATTCGATTAATCGAAAATCGAACCGGATTAAGCTTAATCGAACCATTTAACTATTTTCTCATCCCTACTCTTTTGCTCGTACTTTGTGTGCTCGTATGACTCATTAGGTTATGCATGCAGTAGTGGGAGAGATGGTGACTCGCTATGTGTGCATCTAAAATTTTTCAATAATCATGCATGTTTCTCATCCATAATTACCGCCAAAGAGATTCAATATCATACAAAGAAAGCAAAATCCTAACATTACCGTGAGTCTAAAATCAATATTCATTGTCTATTCTCGATTGGCATTAATTATCTCAATATGAGTGTTTGTGTAAAGTAATTGTTTCTCTTTTTATGTGTGCTTAGGTTTAAAGTCGTCAATCGAGATAGGCGTCAGTGCATCACAATAGATGGAGAAGAAAGGATGTTATACATACAAAGTGTTTCGTTACAATAAAAATATTGCCTTGCCGAGATTTTCTACTTAAGCATTTTGCGTTGTATGGGAAACACAAATCAATATTGCTTCTTTAAATTAGCATAGAAAATTCCTTGACAATAGAAAAAAAAAATCCTTTAATTCAAAAACTTAAAATTATATCCTATCTCCTAATCCTTGATGTTTGGAGTAAATAATGGACATGATGGATGAGAACTAGTACTTTGACTAGTTTCGATTTTTAAGCATGAGATTTTCAGTCATTTATCTTTCCTTTTCAGATGACGGGTGAAGCTTTATATCAAAGAATAATATAAAACTATTTCAAAAACTATCTCCCAATCCTTGAATTTCACCTCTTCACATTCTCTTATAAAATAATTACTAGTTTAAATCAATACTTCTATCTTATTTTTTGAATCTTATAATATTGATATTTTTTTTAAATTAAAATTAAACAATTAAGCACAAGGTAATGATAAATTTGTACAAGTTTCAAGTTAAAAAAACTTTTACTTAAATAGATGTATTGAAAGTAATATAAAACTATTTCAATCCAAAAATTTACTTTATTTATGAGATATATGATTCAATAGATCAATGTATTTTGAATTTTTTCGAAATCGAAAATACTTTTACTTAAATAGATATGTTGAGAGTAATATAAAACTATTCTAATCCAAAAATTTATTTTGTCTGTGAGATATATAATTCAATAGATCTATGAATATTGCTAAATGATTAATTGGTTTTAAAATATCATGAATTTTTGATGAAATAAAAACTAATATCTAACCTTTAATTTTTTTCAATTTGAATACCAAACTCTTTTTTTTTTTTAATGAAAAATCGAGTCCATCTTTGCATTAACAAATCCGATCATATTTTTCACACGTAATCTAATAAAATAACACCAAATTAAAAAACACCAAATTTAAATTAAAAAAATAAAACCCTGTCTTTCTTTTCCTCCTTAATAATTAACTCAATCAAAATACAAATAATTGCAAACTTATCATTCATTGCAAACCCACCATATATGATAGCACACGTGATCATGATCAACACAAAAGAACCCACTCACTCGCATAAAGACAACACCAATGTCCATTTCTTCAACGCCACTGTGACTGTATACTGTACTAACACAAGCTTTGCCATTAAATTTTATGGGCTGCATGATTGGGTACTCCTCCATCGTTATCTATCTATCCTCTCATTATTAAAAATTAGACTCTACACCTACTGGGTAAATCAGAAACTTTCTTTCTTCATCTTTTCTATTTGTTTGCATGATTCGTTCTTCGGCTTCTTTATTTCTTTATTTACGTGTTCTTATCTTTTTCTAGATAACGTTCTTTAATGTAAACTATTAGGGAATAATTTTCTGGAGCAGTCTCTTGGTCCCTTGGGACAATCCTTGAAATGTGTTGGTACAGTGTACAGTTTAAAATATAGGCTACATTCCTGAATTTTTCCTAAATTTTAAGTCATTTGTTTAAATTTTTTATTGGTTTTGGATATTCTTAAATTTTTAATTTTTTTAGATTTAGTCTATTTAATTATTTTAAGTTATCATTTTTTCTATAAAAAGTTTAATTTTTGATATTTTGATCTGAAATTTTTCATATAAATTTTAAAAAATTCAATCCATTTTATAGATAAATTTCAGAATATTTCAAAGTCGAAAACTATATTTATTTATTTATTAAATATTAAAATTACAGAAAGTCAGAAAAATAGAAAATAACTCCAAAATGAGCTTAAATTTTTTGAGGACCTCCACATAAATTTTATTAGATTATTTTCATTATAAAACTATTTATGTGAGCATTATTTTTTTGAAATAAATAATAAAAAATTTAAAATTTAAAAATCTTACAAACTAATAAAAACATTCAATATTCAAACTTCAAATGAATTGAAATTAATTTTATTAGATTATTTTCATTATAAAACTATTTATGTGAGCATTATTTTTTTGAAATAAATAATAAAAAATTTAAAATTTAAAAATCTTACAAACTAATAAAAACATTCAATATTCAAACTTCAAATGAATTGAAATTCAAGATGGTTAGATCCTTTAGTCCGAAAATATATATAGAAGTTCTTTGAGTGAAGGACTTCTTTCATTTTCTCTACGGGTTCCTTCCATGCATATCCAAACAACAAAAAAGAAATCATTAGTTTGACTTTCTCTCCTCTTATTTCAGTTCTTTCATCTTCCATACTATGCTGTTTTTCAAAACATCGTTTAAAGATCATTACAGCCATGACCTTATAAATGCTACGATATGAACTCAAAAGATAAAAAAGGACAAAAGCTCAAGCACCATTTTGGAGTTTATCAGACATACAGAAACTCAAACCAGAAACTTGCAGCTTCTCTTGAATAAGATTTTCCACACGGCCCACCATTGAAGGTGTTAGATAATTCAGTGAATCTCCCACCTTTCCTTTCCTGAGGAAGGCACTAGCTGGAATTCCAAGAGGGCCTGTGCCACTCTTGGTTGCTTCATAGTTTTCCATGCTTTCAAAGCTGCAGAGCTTCGATATTTCTTCGATCAAACCTTGCTTCTCTTCATCCACAGAAAAAGGAAACCCCAGAAAATCAGCCAGCTTCTTAATGTGAAAGACATTGTTCTTTTTCATGTCCTCGTATTTAAGAAACAAGACCTTATCAGGTGTCTCTATGCTTGCCTTCCAATACCCTAACAAATGATCCCAAAACGGACCATAGCCATGAACTCCTTGACAAAACTTGTCAAAAGCATCTTCCAGTGAAACATGTTTCTCATTTTCCTTTCGAATATTGCCACTAAATTTCCAATAGGAAATGAACATGTCTAAAGGATTCCGACACACATACACGATTTTAGTAGCAGATTCTTTGACTGAACGTGCCAGTGCCAAGTAAGGTGAGTGAGTTCCAAAAATTCTAGACTTGGCAAGCTTGTCTAGTTCCTGAAACTGGTTTTTGGAGCTGAAATCAAACTCGAGAAAGGGTACAACCCCATGAGGGCCGTTGGTAAACAAAGGGCTCTCTTCAAGTGAGTAATGAGAGCGATTGACTACAGTATAAGCCAAGGCCTTTAACCAAGTGGTACCTGATTTTGGAATGCTAGCAAGGATGATGTCAGTTTTTTGTGCTTTGAAGTGGTGTTGAAACAACATCATGCCCTTAATTGATACTTTTGGACACCAGAATCCTTGGTATTGATAGAGAATATTACCTCCCATGCCTATTTCTGTTGGAAGGTTTTGGACCAAATCTTGGGATTCAACATCTATCTGCTCTGCCTCCTTGGGTGGTTTCTCTTCTCTCCATCAAACTACGAATAAGAATAACAATAAAGAAGAATATTCAAGGAAAAAAATGAAGTATGATCGGTAGAGAGAGTTTGGAATAACTTGTTGCACCAAACTTGAGATCACAGCAAGCCTTATATCGCCAGCATTATGGTTGGAATTTGTCGTCTTTTAGGCTTGACTGATATTGTAAATTGGCTTGAACCTTCGTGGGTAGTAGGTGGTTCTATTATCTTGCGCCAGGGTTGAATTCATTTAGAGTTGATTCAAAGTAAACTCATAATTGACTGAAAAAAATATTGTTCCTTTTCAAAATGCATGATTTATTGTCTTTGATAGAGTAGAAATAATGCAACATGACTGCTGTCTGTCAAACACGACCTGCAACCTCAAATTGCCTTCCAAAATTCCAATCCTGGCGATTGAAATCCTGGGCACACTATAGTCTATGCACATGGCAATTGACAGCTCTCTGTGAAGGTACCCAAAAGGGCGATGATAGTTGTTGGATATTGTGCCTTAGAGCTTTGCACTAATAGTTCAACTTGTTCTCTTGTAATGTTCTGCGCTTTCAACATAACTCTATATATTATGGTTTTAAATAATGTTTAAATTTATTATCTGTTTTTTTCATTAATTTTTCTGATTATAAATATTTTTTTTAATTGAAATGACTTGATTGAAATAAAAAAAAATCCCTTAAAGTTATATAACCAGCATATTTTATTATTGAAGTCTTTAAAATTTTTATTTTTATAGATATTTTGCTTAAAAATTTTTTCATGATCAGACAAATTAATTAGAAAAATAAATTAAAATTTTTAATATTATTAAAAAATATAATATATATAATTAGAAATATAAAAATAAATTAAAGGCTCCGAATCTTATATAAGAACAAATTAAGTTTATTTATCTTAATTTTTTTTGACAACGAATCATCATGACATCTTAACTCCTAGTGAGATCCACCAACCGCCAAAATGGAAATACGTACATGCCCTGTCTACCACTGAAAGTCCCAAACTCCCCACCAGGAAAAAGGGTAGGAAAAGTCCAATTTGGACAGCAAAATAAATGCATGCAGTTGTTAAAGAAATGTTATCCACACAAAAACTTATAAGCTGCAAAATGTTAAAGAAAAAGAGAGCATCAATAGTGAAAGATGACCAAAGAGTTTGCATTCCAGTCGAAGCTATGAATTTAAATTCTAGTGAAAGATCAACTTGATCAAAAGCTAAAGGATTTTGAGCATTCAAAAAGGCAACAAATCCATGTTTGACGGTAACTCTTTGAAAATGAATTTCCTTCTAGATCAAATCAATTGTTGATCCGTTAAAGGAGACTTGTTAGCTCCTATGTTTGACTGGATTAAGATCAACACAGAAGGAGCTTTGATTGCATCTTAGGGGAGCACAACCGCAAATGAATGGCTTTGATTCATGACGTGCTTGGGAGAAAGGTTCCAAGTTGAATGTAGGCAGAGTTAGAAACTGATTCTGATTCCTTAGCTATCGTCACCCTTATCAAGGCCACTGAAAACGATTAACAATAATATTGTTTTTATGGATTAATCATATATTCTTGATATGCCTTCTCTATTCTGTTACTATAAAAATATTGCCTTGCTGAAATTTTCTACTTTCAGAATACAGAAATTTTCAGCCATGTATGTGAACTTCATTGTCTTTATATACAGCATTCTTAGAATGGAGTTCACAGATTCAAATCTATTGGATTATTTGATATAAATTTATCATTTAAAGCACGTTGAAACACTTCAATTAAATGCATAGTCGTGTGATGTAATAGCATTTATAGAGAAACACTTGCAAGTTCTGAATCTGCCTATGGATTGTAGGAACTTTTCAAACACGTTTAGTTTTTTTTTTTTTTTAAACACATCTATCTAAGACTCATAACATTTTCTTATGATTTTCTTTGTTAAAATTTCAATTTAAGCTATTAGTATTTTTAAAAAATCAATTTTATTTTTTTTGTAAAAAAATGACATTTCAGCTTGATTCATGATAAATATAATTTATACACATATTTTATATAAACTTGAAGCTTGAATTCGTTAATTATGCATGTGATTTATATTTTATTTGATATAAATTAATCCTCACATACTTTAAATTTATAGGTATCAAGAATAGAGAGAAAATTAAAGAAGTAAGGTAAAAATAAAGATTAAAATGAAAGAAAAAATAAAAAGTAAGGATTAAAAAATAAAAAAGAAAAAAGTTTGACTTGGACATTTTAGAAAATCAATTCATCGTATTGAGACTTACGGGCTGGACTAAAGAAAGGAGGGGCTAGCTATAAAGGAAATGTGATAAGCATGATAAAGTGAACTTTAGGCACGACAGTGAACAGAAAAAAGGGCAAAGTGACGTGATGTACTAGCAAAAGGAGTCTATGATTATAAAAGAAAGAGTTATAGGCATAGTAAAAGGAAGGGACGGCAGTAATAAGCATAAAGAAAAACAAACAGAAGGTTTGTATGTTCATAGAGCAACTGGCACGGCTTGAGGCAGCAAAGAGCAAAATAAAGCACAGGTCGCCAGAGAGCAAACTTGGACGGCAGAGAGGGAAGGAATATCAAGTACATTAGAAAAGTAATTGAATTTCTTTCGATTATTATTTGATGGATTGTCAATGTAATATCTTATTTTTACATCTAGTAAATTTTTTTTTGTTGAGATAAACTCTTAAGTTAGGAATGGATGATTTTAATTCTTATTCTATGTGATTAATTATTTTCTCAACTCAAAACCTGATTCTTGATGTATGATAAATTTATATTGCTATATTTAATGCTTTAAGAGAGTGATCACTTCTTATTGATTTAATGACATGTGCTTGAGTCCGAGAGGGAATTGT